AGAATCATAACTCAGAATAGCTACATATTTATCACAGTACAAGCCATGTTAAATATCAGTTAAAGCCTGACCTTTACTAGGAGAAAAGTCAAAATGGTTAAATATTGTTTTCAAGTATCATTTTTGTGGTGTTCTGTCTATTCCTTGTAAACTATCATGCAAATTATCATGTATCTAATTAAAAACAAGTTCTGATGTACCGATTAAAATAGAATCAAAAGAGACCATCATCATATAAAATACTTTGTTTCATAACTTTTTCTGAACTGTTAAAAATGAGTTTTGAGGTGAGATATGAGGAAAACTATAAAGACAAATATTAAATGTTTTGAGCCATATATGAAACATTCCCTTTGGTACTGGAATGAGGTTTTATGTGCTAGCTAGCTAGCTAGACTTATTGAAAAATAATTCCTACAAAATCGTGAAAAAAATGATGTAGATGACTAGTGCAAATGTTATTTGTATATTAAGCCTGATCAGACTAATAGAAGGTTAAATTCACCATATATATAATGCCAGAATGATAAAAGGTAAATAATACATGGGCTCTAAATAATAATGGTAACTGATGAAGCACCTACAGATGCTGATTGGATTTTTAGAGTAAGATCCTTTTTAGTAGTACCTGTAACAAACTGATTTTATTGTCATTGAAACATCATTTGTTAGGATTGTTAGGATGGAGCTCTAATAATTTGCATGCAGAGATCAAATCTCTCCACTCTCCCACCTAGTGCCTCGTACAAATGGGGGGGGGGGGAGCAGAATGCCCCTTCCTCAAGACTCTTTACTTCTGTCAGAAATTTGACATAGTATCATGATTGTTAGAACAAGACACTTTACTGCCATCTGCTGAAAAACTGGCATAATAAATATTCAAATTTGTGATGTGACTAAATTCCCCTAACATGCAACGGTGTTTTATGCTGCACAACATGCAAAATTCATACTACTTTCAGTAATGGACACTATTACTCCTACCAAACTTTAAAAAGCCCCCAGTATGAAACACTAGAAACAACTAGCCAGTTGAAGTCTTGACCACAAACAGGTATTTATAGTCAAAATAGTTTATATTTAGAATGTATGCTATCAACAGGATAATACCAAGTGTGTAAAGAAAAAGTGTTTTAAAAGTTTAAACTACAACTATAGTTTAAACCTTTTTTATATTTTAACTTATATTTCAAAGTTAAAAATTAGACTCACAAATGTTTCCTTAGAATTACTGTTGGCAGGTTTAAGAAGGCATTCTATTCAATAACAAGTACTGATATCTGTTTTATAAAATTCTCATAATAGTAATACTTTAATAAACAGCATTCAAGATACTCTCTTAGATATCAAATCAGTATCACAACTCTTACATATTTAAATTCTCAGAGATTTGATAATTAACCAAAGATTGTCAAGTGTATTCCAGTTACCCAAGTTGGCTCTTAAAGGCTCAACTAACCAAAAAAATAGGCAAAAGTTTTAGCTAAAGCTATGTGGTGTATCTTCCCTGATGGCTCAGCAGGTAAAGAACTCGCCTGTCAATGCAGGAGACACAAGACATGTGGGCTCAAATCCCTGGGTTGTGAAGATTCTCTGGAGGAGAAAATGGCAACCCACTCCAATATTCTTGCCTGGAAAACCTCATGGGCAGAGAGCCTTTGGGCTATAAAGGGTCACAAAGAGTTGGACATAACTGAGTGATAATACATGAACTGGATGTGGTATATCGTCTTATACCATCATCGGGTATAAGCAAAAGGAAATCTTTCTTCACAAGTTATTTAGTTAAATTTGAAAACTGTAGGAATGTATTCTTCTGCTTTTATGGGTTATGTCACTTGCTTTCATCTAATTTTTTATCATGCAAGAATAACCATATACCCTGGTTTTCCAGAGACATTTCTGATGGTTATTGAGTGCCCCCTTTCCATTTCAAAGCGTCCCACTTTATACCCTTTAACCATGACCCCTTCTTACTCATGCAAAATGACAAATTCTGCAAGCTGAAATCTAAACTCAATATGTATGAATGGCTTAGCAATAACTGAGATGAAAAACAAAAGTTACCACAAAAGTTAGCAGAGAAAGACTAGATAAATTATGATGTGTAACAGTTTATCTATTTTAAATGATTCATTCACCTGAAACTCACAACATTGTTAACTGGCTATATCTCAATACAAAATTAAAAGTTTTAAATTCAGGCTTTACAATGAGATAAATTAGAAATGTGCAAATATATCTATAGAGCTCATCCCAATTGCATCCAATTGTATCACCCACCTTTCAGTAAAAGTACAAATAAATATTTTATGTGTTTTTCCTCCTGAAAGAATTTCTATTGTCTACTGTTTTCATTTGTATCCATCAAATCCATAAATTACTTAGCATCTCTCCCTTCTTTCTGTATGAAATAATCATTTGGGATTTTAAAAGTACTAAACTACCCCAAAGGATTTTTTGACATTGTCACTGTCCATTTGCTACTATATATATTAACAAAAAGCAAAGTTTAGAGCAATATTTTTAAAATGTAACATTCTATGACATTCTTTATTTACTGAGCCTCACAGAGAGATCAAACCTAATTTCTTTAAAAGAAAGGACCATTGTTGGACATGGCCATTAGTCCCACTGCAGTTTAGGAAATTATCAGCTCATATGTAGTCATTCAATAATATCCCTTATTATATTCAAACTATTTAAATATTAAATATCCTGACTGCACAAGGATAACTGGGAAATTAAGAGTCCATTTTAGCTTCATGTTAGAAGTAATGAAATCCACAAGCTCTCCAAGATGGCAGCCATACATGTGACATATTTTATGCACCTTAAAAAAATTATAATTCCTCAGCTATAGATGGTTGTCTGTAACTTCTACATGTAGGCTTGTGATCACCTTGCATTTCTGTTATAAATTAACATAAATGAATGTAGGGGAACAAAAATATTTCAAAAACTGTATCTATTTTCAAAAAACAATACCCATTAAAAAAAGACAGGTTACTGCCTTTAAAGTTCCATTATCGTAAGATATAAACACACCTTGATATGAGATTTTTAAAAACCACACATACACACAAGCTTCAGGTAGAGCTGTAATAAACAAATTCCTTTTATAAACACAATTTTAACTGAAAAGCCACAGTAGATGGAAAAAAAAAAAGAAGAAAGGATATTACCTGGTAAAATCCAGTGACATCTACAATAGTTTTACAGCACATTTAAGCATTCTACGGTTTTATATCTTTACCTGCCTTCCATTTCTTAGTTGCTCCTTAAAAAATTGCCAATTACGACTATAGGTTCAACTTCAAACTTAGTCCTGATTTTGAGTGCCAGGAAAAGCAAACCAACATTCCAAATTTCCATCTTAATGTTATAACCTCACCTCAAAAATGGTTTTATTTAAATTACAATGCCCATCTAAATAGAAAAAAAAAAGAAAACCAAGCAGCAACATGTAATTATACATAATATTCATTATATGGGAAGTGTTTTTTAGGATGATATATCTAGAATGCACTTGCTCTGTGAGTCTCTTCAGTAATTAAATTGACTTAGACCAACACTATCAAAAGTAAGGGTACTGTAATAAGGGGCACACATTTACAATACTGCTAGCCTTAAAAGCAGTAAAGCAAAAGAAAATATACCAAATAGCACATGCATATCTCACAGAACTTCCACTTAACTATCAATGACTTTTATGCAATGTGCTCTTTTCTGTAACTGTATTAACAACTACTAAGAAAGGAAAGAAGAGATTGAAATTAATGGTACTGAACTGAATTGTTTGAAGCCAGTGCCCCATTTGTGGGGAAAAGTGCATTTAATTCAGCAGCAATATAGCACAGTGTGAAGATATTGTGCTTAGACGCAGATATTCCAGAACTGAAAGATGTACGAGGCAAGTCAAGATATAAAACCATAGCACACTGTTAAATAACCTTGAAACATACATATATTGCAGTGTTCAAAGAAAAACATTCATTTCATTGTACAAGGCTAGGGAGAAATCCTTAAAGTTACCTATCGTAGTTTATGATATAATAAATACATATCTATATAGCATTGTATATACATATATAGAATGTGTTTGTGTGTGTTTATGTGTATCTTTTTATTTTTTTGCCAAATTATTCTGTTAGTTTCTGTGGATCTGCAACTTTCAGGAATGAAAACTCCTTTGCACTACAAGTTTCTGTTCCCCCAAACTTCAGAAAAGATATTTATACTAGAAAAGGTATCAATACTTTCCCCCAAACCAAAGACTTACTTCAGATATTTTGCTTCACAATTGATCAGAGAAACACAATTAAAGGAATTAAAAAATTTTTGACTGTATCTTTTCACTTTGCCAGTTGTTTCAACAAGCAGATATCTTTTAATATTTAAATCAGCTGATGCAAATTCTTTAGCAGAGGATATAAATGAGATTTTGCTGATCGAAACAGAGCAAATCAAAACCAAAAAATAAAATAAAATAAAATCCAGTGATTTACTCTGACTGTAAACAATATATAAAATTCAAATCTCAAATTTCAAAATAAGTTAAAAGAAAAATTCTACCTTCAGGGCCTGTAATACTATAAAGATCTGACAATTGGTAAGGGGAAAATATATATGAAAAGTTGCAACAAAACTGCTTGCCCAGAATTCTTGCTAAGAAAAAGTATATCTAACTATACTACCTCTGGCCCTTAAATTTAATAATTTCATAATTTGTTGGCAAATGTTTTTTAAGCAAACTGGCATATCATATTACACAACAGAAAAACATCCATCAAGTTCAGCAAAGAAAACTTATATAAGCTTTTTGTACAGAATTTAAAAAAATCTAAATGGCTATGATTCCTCTATTAGCAGAAACACATAAACGTAGTCTTTATAAATCTGCCAAATATATCAATATCTACATAAATAGATACAGATATAGATATGAAACATTAATGGCAGTCTATTTTTGAACAGTGTGTGGGACCAGCAGATTTGTATCAGACCATGGCACGATATGGACCCTGCATCTTTAGGAACTGAATGATGAAAGAAGGACCCCCAGCAACAATCTGAGGTGGGAGATGGCTGAGTGGACAGTTCTCAATACTCATGATTGAAAGCTTGCTGCAAAGAGCCAGCTCAAAGGGAAGGCTATGCAGGTTGGGGTTGTCATTCAAATACAGTTCTTCTAGATTCTCCAGTGTACCTGTTATAAAAAATAATTTTTAAAAAATTAGTTATTATTTAAAAAGCTCAAATGAGCATGATCCTTATCCTGGGTATCATGCATACTGAACACACAGTGCCTTTTATTCTCTTCTCTTAGTTTTAAAACTCTCTACAACCATGCATCTCAAACTTTCCTGCTTATTCAAATGAACAAGGGAGATGTTTAAAAAAGTGATGTCTAGGTCACGTGCTACACCAAAAAAAACCTCCTCCTTTATGTTTGGTTTTCAAGCTCAGTTTCCTTGAAAAAATATATACTGCATCTCCAGAAACTCTGTTCGGGACAGCTTGGCATTCATGTGTATTTTTTTTTTTAATTCCAAAATTTATATAATCAACTTACATAGTAAGTGCCTATAATTACTTTCATGTTGAAGAAAATGTGATAATCTCTCTTAGTAAAAAATTTCTCAAGTGAAAGGTTTTGTTACTTTGTATAAATCCTTTGCTAAGAGAGTTATTATATATTTGCCAGTAAGACAAAGTCAATTTATGTAATCTTTTAAAATTTTTCCTTAGATGATCTTAGGATACTCATATTTTCTAGGCAAACAGTCTCAAGCAATTGCAAATGGCCAGCTGGATAAACACACTAGAAATAAGCATATAAAGTTGCTTTATGTGTTTCCAATTTTAGATTTCAAATTCTGTAATATCTGATAGTGATATGTAATAAAACTAATTAAAAAACAGTTACTAGATATTGGATTTGTTTACATTTAAGATTTTATGTATTATTCAGAGCAACTTGACGGAAAGTTACTAGAATCCGTATTTTATAGATAGGAACTTGAAGCTTAGGGAGCTTCTGTACCTTATTCAATGCCACAAAACCAGAAGCAGTAGAGCCAGATTTTGAATTGTCTACTGTACTCCAAAACCATTCTTAACCACTAATCTACAGTACCTCTGAAACAGCATGGTATAGATGAGAGAATAACAAATGGGATTACTAATTTTAGTATTATGTGACTGTAATTGATTGAAACTCTCTGTAACATGAAGCAATTTGCACTGTGTAAAATTCAAGGTGTTCATATTAACAGTATGAGATAATGGATATGAAAACACTTGGAAAATTCTAAAGTAACTCTCAAATATTAACATTAATCAAATATTGTATCAATCCTAAAACCTAACAAGGGAAAGTTCTTTTGGCATAAAACACTGACTAATTTAATTCAAGCTTGTGTAATTTTTAAATTTGGAAGAAAGACAACTCCTCCAAATTAATGTTAAATCTACTGAAATACAAGCATGCTAAAACATTCTCAAATGTTATGTTAAACTCAATTCCCCACATGAGGAAACCTAATAAAAATAACAATGTATGGCAAAAACCACTACAAAATTGTAAAGTAATTAGCCTCCAACTAATATAAATAAATGAAAAAATAAATAAATAAAATGTCACATATGTGTGAAAAAAATAAAATAAAATTCAAATTATAATTCCCCCAAAAAAACTAGCCAACTACTACGGAGTGAGTGATAGTTGCTCAGTCATGCCTGACTCTTTGCAACTCCATACTAGTTCTCTATTAAAAAAAACTTTAGCTTGATGTAAAAATTTGAGTAAGTTGACAAAAATAGTAGATTTGTTATATTCATCTGAAACACTGCTTGAACACATGTTCTAATAACTAACAAAAGCATGTTATTAGTACAGAGTCAAATATCCAAAGGTTTCATACCAATTTCCTCAGGAAGATGAGTAAGTAGGTTCTCTCCAAGGCCTAGATGTGTAAGATTGGTAAGGTGACCAATGCCTCGGGGAAGAGTGGTCAGTTGGTTGTTTGTCAAGACTAATTTCTAAAAGGTTAACAAGATAAAAGACAGTTACATGTATGTTTCTTATAACTGATGTAAATTTTTTAAAAACTACATCTACTAAACCAGCAAGATAAATTTACAGGGAAATTAGATTGAATAATATCATATAGTAGTAGTGTAGTGTAAGTCACTCAGTCATGTCTGACTCTCTGCGACCCCACAGACTGTAGCCCTCCAGGATTCTATATCCGTGGGATTCTCCAGGCAAGAATACTGGAGTGGGTTGTATTCCTTTCTCCAGAGGATCTTCCCAACCCAGATATTGAACCTGGGTCTCCTGCATAGCAGGCAGATTCTTTACCATCTGAGCTACATGAAATTTTTATTATATAAAAATCACTAAATAAGTTTTTCTTTCAAACACCATCATTTGTTAGGAAGACAAAAGCAGCTATGTTACATGAACATAAAATTCAGTTCTAACAGGAAAATCTATTTGGTCCAAGAATTAAAAAATGTACAACTTGGAATGCATCCCCAAAACTTTAATTATATACCTATAAAATCATCAGAATGTTTTACCTGCAAATCCTTAAGATAAGCAATTTCATTTGGCAAGGATTCCAATTTGTTCTCCTCTAGATCCAATTCTCTTAACTTCCTAAGGTTTCCAAGGCCATGAGGAAGCTTCTTTAGAAGATTGTTTGATAATATTAGAACCTAAAGAGAAATTATTGATAATGTTTGACAACTCACAAAACAAAAATATATCATCATCGTGTGCCTTAAAATTAAGCAATGTTAATTTTCTAAACAGTGAATATTAAGGGTAATGTCTAATTATAGAACAAGACATTAAACTTACTATTCTAAAAAAACTACCATAGTTATTGGAAACAAAAGTTTAAGTCAAAACTAATGAAAGCGAAAGGAAATAATTTTAACTAAATTACAAAAAACATGAAAATTATTAACTACTTACACTAAGATTCATACAGGTAATGGTATTTTGATACTGAATAGTTACAAATATCTAATAGGAAACCAATTATTTATTCAAAACTCCTTACAAGCAAGCCATCATTTAAGGTAGATAACAACTAACTTCTAAACTGCTTATATCAATCCACTAGTTATTACTTGTAGTAAATTTATTACATTGCAGGGCATCCTGCAGTATCTTGAGTAAGAGGGGGAAAAAAGGTTGAAGAAGATGCAAGTCTTCATTCTCAGAGAAGTTACAGTGGAGAGGGGTTAGGTAGGGAAACAATACTGAGTATGGGGATAGTGAGAAGAGCAGTAAAGGAAAGATCTATGTAAGGTTCTAGCTATATTTTTATGCCCACTTATTTCTTCCAAAGTTATACTACACACAATGAAGTAAACATATTCAATAAGACCAAGAAAATGACAATAGGAGCAATCATTGAGTTTACTACTATTTGCATGCATGCCTGCATGCTAAGTTGCTTCAGTAGTATCCAACTCTTTGTGACTCACTGGACTGCAACCCCCCAAGCTCCTTTGTCCATGGGAGTCTCCAGGCAAGAATAGTGGAATGGGTTGCCATGCCCTCCTCCAGGGGATCTTCCCAATCCAGGGATCAAACCCGTGTATCCTATGTCTCTTGCACGGGCAGGTGTTTTCTTTACCACTAACGCCACATACTAAATGAAAAATGTGCATTGTTGCATTTAGTCCTAATTACAGTTCTATGTGGAGAATGAAATGGCAACCCACTCCAATATTCTTGCCTGGAAAATACCATGGATGGAGGAACCTGCCAGGCTACAGACCATGGGGTCACAAAGAATCAGACACAACTGAGTGACTTCATTAGCACTAGCACAATTCTATGAGGAATATATTATTATCCCCATTTCACAGCTGAGGAAACTGAAGCTTGGGTACATTAAATTCATAAATAGAGTTAAAAGTGGAATTGTAAGCAGACCTATTTGGCTTCAAAGTTCCTGCTATTTTAGCCATTACACCATACTTTTTTACCTTATTAAATACAATAATAAAAGAATAGAAAAGATTTACAAGATGGCGGAGGAATAAGACAGGGAGACTACTTTCTCTCCTACAAATTCATCTAAAGACCATTTGAATGCTGAGCAAATTGCACAAAACAACTTCTGATCGCTAGCAGAGGACATCAGGCGCCCAGAAAAGCAGCCCATTGTCTTCGAAGGGAGGTAGGACAAAATATAAAAGATAAAAAGGGAGTCAAAAGAGCTACGGACGGAGACCCGTCCCGGGAAGGGAGTCTTAATAGAGGAAGTTTCCAATCACCAGGAAACCCTCGCACTGGCGGGACTGGGGGAAGTTTTCGGCAATCTAACTGGGAGGAAAAATTAAACAAGGCCCACAGATTACGTGCCTAAAAGCAACTCCCAGCAGAAAAGTACCCCAGACGCCCGTACCCGCCAGCAACAAGCGGGGGCGGGACGGAGAGGAGCGGGCGGCGTTGCTTAGGGCCCGAACACACTGCCGGCGGTTCGCAAAACAAAGGGACTGAGAAAGTCCAGAGAAGAGCCGGCCCATCCCCGCTGGAGGTTGGAGGCAGGGGGTAGGGGAAAAGGGCAAACTCAGCCCCTGAGAAGCCACCCCCTCCCACACTGCAAACAGGCCCCCGGTTCCTATCTAAAGACTTCCTGAGACCCGACTGGCGGCGCGCGCTGGGGCCGCGGAGGGAAAAAGCGCGCCGTACCCGGGGAGAGTGCGCCCAAGCCTCTGGCTGCCTGAGCTGCCCGCCGCAGGGAAAAGGCGCGCCGCACCAGGGGAGAGTACGCCCAAGCCTCTGGCTGCCTGGGCTGCCCGCCGCGGAGGGAAAAGGCGCGCCGCACCCAGGGAGATTGCGCCCAAGCCTCTGGCTGCCTGGGCCCCTCGACGCGGAGGGAAAAGGCGCGCCACCTCCGGGGAGAGTGCGCCCAAGCCTCTGGCTGCCTGAGCTGCCCGCTGCAGGGAAAAGGCGCGCCGCACCAGGGGAGAGTACGCCCAAGCCTCTGGCTGCCTGGGCCCCTCGACGCGGAGGGAAAAGGCGCGCCACCTCCGGGGAGAGTGCGCCACCTCCGGGGAGAGTGCGCCCTAGCCTCTGGCTGCCTGAGCTGCCCACCGCGGAGGGAAAAGGCGCGCCGCACCCAGGGAGAGTACGCCCAAGCCTCTGGCTGCCTGAACCGCTCAGGCCGGGGAAGGCACAAAACGCAGGCGCAACCGAATCTGCGCTTTTGTGGAGTACCCGAAATCTGGAACCGCACTCAACGAAGGACCCGCTCCATATAGAGCAGCCGGGAGCCTGAGCAGTGTAGACGGCAAAAGCACTGACACCCGTGAGCGGGGCAAACCCAGTGTGGCCGGAACACGGTGAGTGCTATCCACACAGAGCGGTATCTGTCTGCAGCGCCCCGCCCTCCCCGTAGCAGGACTGAACTCAACTAGAGAACCTAAATAAGAGATCACCTCCACCCGCCTGTGTCAGGGCGGAAATTAGACACCGAAGAGACGGCAAACAGAAGCCAAATAAACAAAGGGAACCGCTTCAGAAAGGACTGGTGCAACAGACTAAAATCCCTGAAGGGAACACCGACTACACCAGAAGGGGCCTACAGATATCGAGAAGTGTAAGCTGGAAAGAGGAGCTATCTGAAATTGAACTGAACCTACGCCGACTGCAACAACTCCAGAGAAATTCCTAGATATATATATATATATATTTTTTTTAATTTAAAAAAAAATTTTTTTTCTATCTTTTTTTTTTTTTTAATTTTTTCTCTTTTATTTTCTTTTAAAATTCCCTATTACTCCCCCATTACTCCTCAACTTTCATTTTCATATATTTTTACGATTTTTTTAATTAGGGGAAAAAAAAAATTTTTTTTTCTTTCTTTTTTCTTTTTCTTGTTTTTCTCTCCTATTTTAAAGTCCTTTAATACTCCTCTATTATTCCTTAATTTTCATTTTCATTTCACTATAACCTTGCCAAAAAAAAAAAAAAAGAGAGAGAGAAACCCTATTTTTAAATCAAACTTCATATACATTTCTAAATTTTTTTTGTTTGTTTTTAAATATTGTATTTCAAAGAGTCTAACCTCTACACTAGATTTTTAATCTTTGTTTTTCAGTAGTAGGTGATATAAATTTTGGTCATTTAAGAATCCAATATTCAGTTCCCATTTCTATTCAGGAGTGTGGTGATTACTCTCCCACTTTTGACTCTCTGTTTCCTACCTCGGAACACCTCTATTTCCTCCTTTCCCCTTCTCTTCCCAATCCAACTCTGTGAATCTTTGTGGGTGTCTGGGCTACGGAGAACACTTTGGGAACAGATAACTGCGTAGATCTGTCTCTCTCCTCTTGAGTCCCCTTTTTCTCCTCCTGATCACCTCTATCTCCTTCCTCCCTCTCCTATTCTTCATGTAACTCTGTGAACCTCTCTGGTTGTCTCTCACGGTGGAGAATCTTTTCACCATTAACCTAGAAGTTTTATTATCAGTGCTGTATAGTTGGAGAAGTCTTGAGACTATTGGAAGAACAAAACTGAAATCCAGAGGCAGGAGACTTAAGCCCAAATCTTGAGAAAACCAGAAAACTCCTGACTACACGGAACATTAAGGAATAAGAGACCATCCAAAAGCTTCCATACCTACACCAAAACCAACCACCACCCAAGAGCCAATAAGCTCCAGTACAAGACATACCACGCAAATTCTTTAGCAACGCAGAAACATAGACCTGAGTGTCAACATACAGGCTCTCCAAAGTCACACCTAACACATAGATCCATCGTAAAACTCATTACTGGACACTCCATTGCACTCCAGAGAGAAGAAATCCAATTCCACGCACCAGAACGCTGACACAAGCTTCCCTAACCAGGAAACCTTGACAAATCAATCGTCCAACCCCACCCACTGGGTGAAACCTCCACAATAAAAAGGAACCTCAGACCACAAGAATACAGAAAGCCCACTCCAGACACAGCAATCTAAACAAGATGAAACGGCAGAGAAATACCCAACAGCTAAAGGAACATGAAAAAAGCCCACCAAGTCAAACAAAAGAGGAGGAAATAGGGAATCTACCTGAAAAAGAATTTAGAATAATGATAATAAAAATGATCCAAAATCTTGAAAACAAAATGGAGTTACAAATAAATAGCCTGGAGACAAAGATTGAGAAGATGCAAGAAATGTTTAACAAGGACCTAGAAGAAATAAAAAAAAGTCAATTAAAAATTAATAATGAAATAAATGAGATCAAAAACACTCTGGAGGGAACCATGAGTAGAATAACAGAGACAGAAGATAGGATAAGTGAGTTAGAAGATAAAATGGTGGAAATAAATGAAGCAGAGAGGAAAAAAGAAAAAAGAATCAAAAGAAATGAGGACAACCTCAGGGACCTCTGGGACAATGTGAAACGCCCCAACATTCGAATCATAGGAGTCCCAGAAGAAGAAGACAAAAAGAAAGACCATGAGAAGATACTCGAGGAGATAATAGCTGAAAACTTCCCTAAAATGGGGAAGGAAATAGCCACCCAAGTCCAAGAAACCCAGAGAGTCCCAAACAGGATAAACCCAAGGCGAAACACCCCAAGACACATATTAATCAAATTAACAAAGATCAAACACAAAGAACAAATATTAAAAGCAGCAAGGGAGAAACAACAAATAACACACAAAGGGATTCCCATAAGGATAACAGCCGATCTAT